AATCAGCTTGCCATAGCCTGCCACCTTTATTCAGCTGGCCTGGAGCAACCGTCCAATCAGCTTCATTTCGCTGCGCCTCCTTGGAGAAATGCAGCTAATTTGACCATTGAAGTGCATTTATTAAGTAAAAGTTCAACTGAGACACACCTTTACTACAAAGTCGAGCAAACAAATAAATGTTTTTAGGTGGTTATCTTGTTAAATTTTGAAAAAATGCCTAGCGAGTCCTCCTGTGCACGCTCCTACTCTTCCGCGTATCGGTTTTTGAAATACAGCTGATTTGACTATCAAAGTGCATTTATTAAGCAAAAGTTAGACTGTTACACGTTTGCTATAATTTTGAGCAAACAAATGTTTTTAAATGTTAATCTTGTTAAATTCTTATTAAAGTCCTCCCGTGCATGCTCCAGCGGCTGCCATTTGGCAGCCAATCGATTTTTGAAATAACACTGGCCCTCATTTCCGGGTTGTCAGCGGTGACGTGTAACAAATGCGACGCGTCAGCGGTGACACATAACAGATGTGAGTTATATGGCGAAGTTATGTATTTATGGATTTTTCCACTTTATTAGACATATTTGGACTGATTCGACTTATATGGCAGTGCAACATGTACAGCGAAAATTTCAGTAATATGAATTTTTAGCAATTGTGGCTTGAAAAGACTCGTCCACGCATACAGCTATGTCCAGAATCCTGCGTTAATGCATAACGAAAAATATAAAGTCACGCTTTAAATGTAAAATGTTTTTATTTGAATTGACTGTCCTTTTGGGCCACGACGAAAAATAAAAGTCAGATTCAAAAGAGCAGCTTCAAAACAAGAAAGCTGCCAGTAGATTGCACGACAGCAGTAACATTTTTTCATCGTGACCACACAATGCTGACATCAAGCACTAAACCAAATGCAGATGTAACAGAAAATTTGATTATGTGGTGTGTTTTTTTTACATTAAAAGATGTATTTAAGTCGGCAGTTTCAGCACTGCAGGAGTCCCACCCTTCTGCAAATTTTTATTCCAGCTTTAAATTCCTAAATATTAATAAACATTTATTTACCTGTCTAGTTTCTGGCAGAAAAGATTTCTTAATTATATGATATCTTGAAAATCTTTGCAGTATTAGCAATATTATGTGTGTTGATGTCTTACATTTTAAAAAGCCGCACTTTGTTAGCCTTAATTATTAGGACACATCTTGTTGAGTAGTCAGATGCTGTAGTCTCAAGCTAAATAACATCACAAATGTTAAACATGTTTTTAATTGTAATGTTGAGATTTTAAGAAACAATTTATATGATATCAATTCCCTTTTTTGCTTTAAAATAATGTTATTTTCTATGGGATTGTGAGGTCATTAAAAATCCCATGAAAAAAAAATCACTACAAAGTCCAAAATGGACACCATCTTAACAGTAACAATCTTTCAGTGTCTGTTCAGATTAGGGTCAGTGTTTGACACTCAGTGTACTAAAGATGTGACATTTGTCAGCCTTGTCGCCATGGAGACTTACAGAATGACTGACAGCTGTCAACCCTCTGTTCCCCCTCCCTCATAATGCAAACCTCATCTTTCAGCTGCCTATCTCTCCATCCATCTCCTTCTTCCTTTGTTCGTCATGTTGAGCCTGTAGCTTCAAACTGGACCCAGCAAAAACAAAATCTGATATTTCCAGAACCAATAAACCTCTCTCACACACAGTAAGCAAGAGAAAGGTAGACTGTCTGCTTCAGAGCAGAAATTACCTGAGCTGTCCTCAGTTTATTGCACGAATTAAAATAAAAATACCCTCAGCAAGGATGGTGATACCTTAAAGTTTGGCTGGCAATATAAATTATTTCACTCAAGATGCTTGGTTGTATGAAAGTTACACTTCAGATGTTTCACATAATAATAACTCTTATAGTTTTCATTTAATTTGACATTATTGTCATACTGGTACATTATATTACGGTGTGATTTCAATATTTTCAGGATCAGAGAAATTTCACCTAATATTATTTTACAGAAGTTTGTGTTAGCAAAGGCTCCATTTGTGCTCAGTGCAAGGCCTAAATAAAAACTATGATTTAAGTGGCATCAGAGCCACTTGACATCGAGGTTGAAGCATGATGCAGCCATATCCACCAGTGTGTTTCTGTCGCTTCAATAGTTGGACCAGACGCTAAGAAAAGGATCTAAATTTCTGCTGAGTCTCAGAATAACCTCAGTCCTAATAAATCAAGGTAATTATTATCAATAACTTTGCTGCTGCGCTACTTGCAGAAACCATTCTCAAGAAAACAATTATTTCCACAACATATATTCCAGAAAAACAGAATACTATAATGTCATTTTGTTTTGTACTGCGCAGCTCTGTCCCAGTGGGTTATATTAGGTTAGCATTGGGGGGAGGGGAGTCCTAGTTGGAGTAGCTTTTCCTGCTCAAGGGTATTACATTGAGCAGCGTACACTGAGGTGGGTGGGGGCAGGCCATCTGTGTTTACACATGGACTGTTAATTCAAGGGGGGATAATTTCTGGTGGATGCAGAGCAGTGCTGTACCTGATGAATTCCTGAAATGGTCACAGCATCAAGAGGTGACTAGATAAAAACAAGGGCAAAATGAGCTACTGATCCACGTAATAGTTGTTATCAAAACGCATTGTAAAATAGAATAAAATGCAGAAGATAAACTAATTAAATAATGCAGCGTTCTTAATGCTTTTACACACTGTTAGATATTTTGCAAAAGAAAAAAAAAGATTAAATTAAGAGTGTTTTAAAACAATAGACAGATGCTATAACTAGAAGCAAATCAGCCTACGATAACCACCAAAACCCACGTTGCCTAGCAACATACAATTTAGGAATATGCTTTCAGAGCAGCTTTGCGGATGTGTCCATTAAGAGATGAAATTACCAAAGCAACAAATGTCAGCCACATGCAAATAAAGTCTGCTCTGCTCACTGCGTGTGTGCTAACAATGTGACGAATGAGGCAGACTTGAGGAAACATGTTTCTGACACACAACTACAGGAGAGCCAGGAGCAGCAGCTTGCTTTGACAAGCGAGCAACAGGGATTTATTTTCTTAAAGTGTTCTTTCCTAGGCCTTAAAGTCTCAACGATAATTAAGCTGTCTGAGTCAAACTATTTGTTCTTGGTTTGCGGTGAATATTTCAAGTTTGTTTCAACCTATGAATGATAGCAGCGGCTGGACAGAGCCAAATCAGAGTATCTGTGATTAGTGCGGCAGTGGAAATTGTGATTCTGAAGGATTAAAAGTCCCCCCCCCCCCCCCTTCTCACTGCAACCTGCACAGAGAAAATGACACAATCACACAGCAGCCATGAGAAAGGTAATTCGATTTTATCGGTCTGACAATGGTGGTGATAGTCTGCCTCTAGTGAGCTGGTGTTAATAGGGATATCCATCCTAACTGTCCACAGTGCCTTAAATCTTTTTCTTATAAGGCGATGGGACAGAAAGTAGCATATTTTGAGTGGAAGATAAAAAATAAAAAAAAAGCTTGAACCAAATTTGCTTTCCATCAAATTAATCTATCTTAAACATATAAATCAAATGGAAAGAAAGCCTTTAAAAATATGTAAATTTCCTCAAAAATAACAAATCTCGTTTTTACTCCTTGCAAGTCAATAGAATAACCTGACAGCAGGAGTGTTATAATGTCTGATTGATATAAAGTGCAGCAGCAGAAACTGATGTCATAGATGCTCTTATTTCTGAGTCTAATGCTACATCTGCTATAAGGATGCAGAATAAAATGAGAAGAAAAAAATGACAATTTAACCCCCCCCACACACACACAAACATCTGCATAAAAATGGGGAGGTAGCCCTCACAATCTCAACAGCTTTTAGCAAAATGTTCCAACAAATGCATATATTTCACTGTTCCCACACAGTTAACACATCTGCACATAATATCTGACTTTTCCAGTGAGGAGACACTTAAGTGAGCTGTTCACACATGAATGCAACAACTGACAGACTGTAACATGAACTGAGCACAGTTGTTAAAATTTTAAATGTACCAAAAAGGATGCTGACAGCTGTCCCTCCCAAATCCTCCACACTGTGCCCTATCAACGCTACTTTCAGCTACAAATAATATGCGACTGGTTTCGCATTCTGATTAAAAACAAAAACATGAAAAGCAAACAAACAAAAATGCACAAGGTCACTAATATTAAAAAGGACTTTACAGAACAAATGTGTGTTTTTTTCTCCCAAATCCAGCTGTCACAGAAATAAGCAGATGAGAAAGTCAGATGAAATTTTAAGAATCAGGGCAAATGCCGAAAAAATAAGTAGAGCAACGCAGTGTTGAAAGCAAGTTATCCTTCAGCTGTATTATCTTTAAAATCTGGAAGACAGCTGAGAAAAAGAGATTGTTTATTTTTTCTCCAATGGTGAAGATAAAAAAAGAAAAAGATCATTCATCTACTAAAGACTGAATGAGCACCAACATGAGACAGCAAAAAAAAATGACAAAACTGTCCAAAATCATTCAAGACTGTAAAAAAGTTATTAACATGGATATTATGTTTAGATTTTCTGAAATTCAATTATCAACCATAACTTACCAGGAACAATGCTCAGCCAAATAAATTGTACATACCTTCATCGGAAAGTAAAACTTTGCACTGGGTTGATATGTACGGTATTCACATACGACTTGCCCATCAAGTTGATGGAAAATTTTGATTTGAACAAACAATTGCAATCTAATACTAAGGTTATCATTTTTGGTGTATTGAATATCTCTTGAATGCTTTAAACAAATAGAGAACAGATTATTCAGTGCTTAAACAGAGCAGCAACAATGAAATGCCTGAACGCAATAAAAGCCCTATGAAATGACAATGACCATAAAAAATTGTAGCACACAAAGATTTCATGTAAATAAAATCTGTAAATCAACCACGGAAGCCTAATAAGTTAATTCAAACAAAGAACAGATTACCAAGAAAAGAGGAAAAAAATAAAATGATTTACTTGTGTCCGGAGACGCCATAGTAGATACGATGACAGGTGGACCTGTGCGTCGACTCAACTTCTGGTTAGCAACCAGGGTACCTTGGCCTTGAACAGGTATTCCTATTGGGACATGGGCATTGTCTGATGCTTGACCTCCTTTACGTATTAGTTGAGGGTTTGGGTGAGGGCTATGCATGGGTGACAATGGGAGTAAACTCCTATCCCTCTTCATCAGCTCCATTGGTACCGTGTAATTGGTGGAGTATGCTTTTGGTACTTGTTGCGGTGGCTGATGCAAAGCTGACATGGATACAGGCATCTGCTGTGGCATCCCTGATACAGATCCCGGTATGGCAGGCATTGACCCAGTCATCTGTTGTGGCATTATCTGCATACCCTGCATAGATACCCCAGGCATTGCTACTCCAGAGGAATAGGCTGACATAGGTCTTGTCTGGACAGGCATAAGGGCTCCAGAATATGGCCCAGGAGATCGAGGAGGTTGGCCTGGGTATCCTATAGAGGTCTCCAAGAAGTTTTGAGAAGGAGCACTGCTGGGCCTCCTACTTATTACTTCACCCATCCTTGGAGAGATGGTTTGCATAGCCCCAGGGGTCAGTGGGGCCATAAGCTGAGGATCCATGGCTAAAACATGTGAAGGATGTGATGAATGGTGGTGCTGTTGGTGGTAGATGTCTGAGCGATGGCTAAAGCTATTAGATCGGCCTCTCATTGGTGTCTGAGGTCGGGAGGGGGCTGGCGTAGCATCAACAGGCCGCTTGAAGTTGTGGAGCAAGCGAGACAGTACACGAGCCTGGCCAAGGTTGGGGGCAACAGTACGGACATCATTCTCCTCCATAACAGCTAGCATACTAGTGGAGTCAAATCCCTGCTGGATGAGTGAGGATATAGTGCTTTCTGTTAGGCCTTCATTTCGCAACAAAGAGAGGAATTCTGTATCAACTGCCTTCTTGGGATCTATAGGCAATGGTGCCTGTGGGGCAGTTAGGAGAGGTGCAGAAGATGGAGTAGGAAGTGGAGTAGTTGGAGGAGGGGGCACAGGAGTAGGGACTGCTTGCACAGGAACAGGTACAGCTGGGACAACTGCTGCAGTCTGCACAGGAGCAGGGGGAGCTGGCAGTGGAGCAGACATTGCAAGGTGTGGGCTGGACACTGGCATGGTAGGTGGAAGTGGATGTTGCTGTTGGAGATGCTGCTGCAGCTGGTCTTGCTGAGGCTGTTGTTGAATTGGTTGCTGTTGTAGTTGTTGCTGCTGCTGCTGTATTTGCTGTAGTTGTTGCTGCTGCTGCTGCATTTGTTGTAGTTGATGTTGCTGTAGTTGCTGTTGTTGCAATTGCTGCTGTTGCAATTGTTGCTGCTGGAGTTGCTGTTGAGGTACTTGTTGCTGAAGTTGCTGCTGATGCAGTTGTTGCTGCTGTAATTGCTGCTGCTGTTGGATGGTGTAAGGTGATGCTGTATCTTGCCTCATTATCACACCTTGACTACCAGGATCTATTACAAGACAGGTGGCAACCTGCTGCTGTGGATCCAGAGGGTGGCCATCAACATTGGTAAAGACAGACTGACTAGACATAGGTGGAGGTTCACTGGCATATCGAGGAGAAGCTTGCTCCATACCATATTGAACAGGAGGTGGGTCTCTAGAAGGTAAGTGTTGTTGACCATCTTGCATCATCTTGGCAACAGGTATAGCACCAGGTTCTCTATAGATTCGATTCAACTCATGGACTGTTGGAGGAGGAGGCAGAGGTGATAAAGGAGCTTGATGTCCTGTCCTACCTGACTGACTATGATCCCATGCAGTACGAGCCCCAGACGCCATACCAAAATGCGAACCTGACCTGCTCAGTGGATGAGATGGTGGAGGCTGGTGATCTGACCGGTAAAGGCCCTCAGGTGGCCGAGGCGTCATGGCTGAATCATGAGAATAATAATCCTGATGTGGAATGGATGCTCGATGAGCCATGGATGCCCGCTCGTAATGGTTTAAATCTGGTACAGAGCTCTTCCTCAACCCCCGTGGATCGTGTCGCTCAGCATAAACCTGCCCGTAGGGTGAGTCTTGGTAGGAATATGGAGCACGTTTCAAATCCAGGTCAGGAGGACACACCCCTGGTGGAGCCTCGTACCACCCTCCCCCCTCCACGTATGACAGGGAGTTTCGTCGGCCTGCTACTTTTGCTTGCTGCTCATACACACTGTCAAACTGCCTATCCCACTGACCCTCATTCCCTCCTAAGGTGTCCCAGCTGTGGGAGCGTCCAAGACCTAACTGTTTGTTAGGCACGAGCATTGGCAAAATAAAAGAAATTGCTGGGGGAAAAAAAATAAAAGCAAAAAACAGGGAAAAAGAAAAAGGTTTTTGAAAGTGTGTTTGAAAGTTCAAGTCCACATTCAGCATCAAAGATAAAACAAAGAGAGGAGGGCAAAGCAAGCAGAAAAAAGTAACGAGGTGTACTGTTTCACCTGATACTGGCTTGAAATAAGTCCACGCTATCAAGTGACTCTCTCTTAAACTGGCAGTCCTTGAATAATTAATCTCTTACCATGCCGTGGTGTTCCGCGTGATGAAAAAAGACACCGTGCACACTCTCACACACAAAAAACATCCACATCACAAAACCACACAACCATTGCAGAGGAAGCTGAGTTATTCCATGAAGGACTCGATCATAGGATGCAAGCTTGCGATAGCCATCAAACATTCATTCGTAGGAGGGGAAAAATGCAGTTAGGGCAGGGTTATAGGTTGGAATGGGCAAGGGCTTGTACTAATCCAGTATGGTTTATCTCACTGGGACATTTTACTCGCTCTGCCGATTGCTATGAGGGATTACATCTAAATAAAGCCTGTTTAATTCCACATCCTTCTGTGACGTCATGTGAACCAGATATCAAATTTGGTGATGGCACTGATGATGACGATGCCATCAAATTCGAGTCCCCCCTTAAAAAAAACCTCAGTCCCCTCCTTTTCTGACACCTACCTGAAGCTGATGATGATGTGTTGTCGGCAACAGGTTACAGATCTGCCAGAGTCACGGCACAGGGCGGGGAGGCCACACAAGGTGCATCATTGATAACAAATGAAATACAGCCCTCTTAGCTTAGTCCTATGTGCTGTCAGTAAACATCAAATCCACTCTGATTGGACACTAATCCCTCAGGCCTCATGCTTCCAACAGAACCACCACACAACTGCTGCTCAAACTCACTCTGAAACGTCCTTGATGGCTCCATGGTGCTCAGTGTTACTGCCTCACTCTCCTTGATTTAGGATTACTCAGACCTGCTGTTCACATATTAGCTGCAGGACATTAGAAATTGTAATGCACAGGGATTGCAGAAAGCAAAATAAAATCCATGTGCTGAGAGTCTCCACTCTGCCCTATGCTATCTGGATCAACCACTCAGTTATCAACTTTACCAGTTGAGGAAAAAGAATGTAGCCATTGCAGAAAAACTCACAAAGGTGTTTTATTAAACTACCTATGTATATCTATCTAGATTATTTTTGTTTGTAATAAAAAAGCACATTCCCCTTCTTTCTTAAATCCCCAATGATCACTTTGAGAGGTTCTGTAATCTGAATTTGGAAGAAAAAATAAAGCACTGGAAGAGTTGTGTGTGCATCAGTGGGTGTAGAGAATGCTCTTTTTGTATTTTGATGATATGTCTTTCAAAAAGCTTTTGCTTGTTGGCAAGCATGATTAATGTATGGAACTTCTCAATCACATGTTCATTTACCAAATAATGATGTTCTGCTATTTTAGATTATGTCGTTTCATAACCCTTAAACTGAGGGTTTTGTGTAACAAAGGTGATGTTCCTTCACTTCCTGGCTGTAAACTGATCTTTCCTATTGTCTTGTTTATTAATGCATGAAAACACATGTTAGCAGAAGAAGTGTCCATTTTCATCCCATTCCATTTTCATTTAATACTATGACAAAGGTTATAGAGGCTCACACTTTAAACTGCACAAATAAGCTCCACAATTTTAAGAACATGCCTTAAAATTTGTCCAGCAGTGTCCGGGAAACCTGTAGGCATATTACTCGCTGGAACACAAGTCTTGTTTAATTACTGTTTGTTGTAAGGGCAGGGAGATATCAGAGACGAAGCTGTACGGTTACTTATTCGTTTTGATTTTTACAAGATGACAAAAAGAACTGCTGGTAACTGATCTAAAACCATTCGTACCTGTGATATATTTGATAAAACGCTGAGGGAGGTATGAATCTGGTTGATGTTTGAAAAGAAATCATACTGGAGGCCAACAAGAGTGAACTAAGTGAAAAAGATGAGCAACTTTAAATATTAACTCCTGAATTGTGTTTTATTTTTTATAAAATATATCATATTTAAATGTAGTTTAACACCTAAAGGCGCACGGTGTTTAACACTAAACATATTATAGTCATCAAGACCCAAATCCTATAAAGAGTTAATGGGAGATAAACAGTACAACTTAGATTCATTCAACCTTTATTTAGACAGGTAGATTTAAATAGTGATGCTTTAACTAAAGAAAATGCCTCCTTATGTATGATACAACGTAATTTGTGTCAAAGCTGAGTTTCTTCTCTCATTATTTCATCTGGCCCGGTTCTCCAGAGACTCTTAGTTCAGCAGACCAGATCACGCATCTCATCCTCGAACATAAAAAGTGGGGCAGAGGTGTGCTCTCAGGGTTGCCAAATGTAATCCTGACAGAAAAAAAAACAAGTCTCACGGTTCTGTTTGTCTCAAACTAAACAATGTTTGATATTCAAATTGAAAATGTTCCTCCGTTTGACACACTTTCAAGACTGTGCACACACAACGCCAGATTCACTGTAACAGAAGGATTTAGGAATTAAGCTGGAGGTTTTTAGAGCAAACATAATACCACCCCAGCAGAAGCTTAAAAAGACTTTGAACTGAATAAAGCTTGACTAGTGAAATATTTTAAAGCACTAAAATAGATAGAAATACCAAAAAAAAATGAACAACTAGTAAAAAGGCAGCTCTGCTAAATATATTTTTATTCGAGCGGCACATTTCAGCTTTAAAACACACACATATTAATGCAGATTTTCACCTAATTTGATGCCAAATACATCCACATGAATCCAGCTGATTTAAAATTTTGCCCTCATCCTTACACCTATAGACGCACACAGTTGCTCTGAAGCCTTTTGACCTCGCTCTGATCGTCTTCTGACATGCAAAAGACTGAAACGGCTGCAGCGCTTCATTTGTGTCCCTTTTCATTTGCACATGTAATCCCTCGCTAAAGCCTTGGCCTTGGTCTGCCGCGCATACATGAATAAAAATCACACGCCAGCTCCGAGAGGAAAACTGCCCCTTAACGGAAATAAAAACAACTGTCTCCTATAGTGTGACAGGTCACGTAGCAAAGACATGGCTTGCATGTTAAACACACTGACTTATGCATGAGTGTGTGACAGGAGGCACTAACAGAAAATGAGATTACAATACCAATACCGCTGATGCTGCCAGATGAATTGCAATGCACCTTTAACACACAGCCTGTATGGAGCTGCTGTGTTTGTGATTCCAGTTAGAACATTTGTCCCTGAAAGCATCATCAAAGGGCTTAAACAAACCGTAAACGCATCAGTGACAGTGGAGTAGTGCATGTAGAGTCATGCATGTAGAGTTAACAGTCTGAAGTGAAATTTATATTTTATCCATTGTGTGAGCACAGATACACAGCAGTCTGCACATTCTATTGAATATTCTCAGTTTCAGCTGTTACGCAGTGGTTCCTCCACCCATAAACTCTGCTCTTTCTGCAGCATCAAAACAATCATTCATCCAGTTTTCTGCCTGATCCAAGAAAGGATAACTCAAAGCTGAGGAAATAATGTGAAAATGATCGTTTTCCAGAAGATCCTCATCCCCACTGATAGGCAAAGGTGGATAATTATGTTTTGCCCATGTCTATATACTGTATGTGTGAGAGTGTGTGTGTGTCAAAATATCATGAACCACTGATGTTTTTTCCTTCTTCTTTTGACTACTCCCTTCTTCAAGGATCGCCACAGCGAACTATATTGCATGCTGCGGATGCACCGAAGAGCCGCATGTGTCTCCAGAGCTGCAGGTTGCAGACCCCTGCTCTAAACGCTCTAAAAGAGCACAGAATGTCATGATTTCAGCTCCCTGCCTCTTCTGCTCTTTGCCACCTGCAAGCGCTCTTGGCCATGCCCACTTCTCTGCTCTGCACAGCGAACAGCTGATCATGCACAGAGAACAGCTGATCAGCTGCAGCAAGAAGTTTATCCCGCAGTATGGGCTGCACAAATGTGCAGCAGGTGCTAAATAATTTAAAATAATTCATTTAAAATTAAAATTCCATGCTGATCGTGCGGCTCATCCATCAATCAGCCAATTGTGTCATGTCCAATCTTATTTTGAAAAACCACAATAAAGTGAGTCCACGATAAACAAACCACGGGGTAGTGAGGGACTATTGCACATCTAAAACTAATTAACTTGTTAAGTTATGTTGATTCAAGAGGGCCGCCACAGCAACCTGACACTAAAAAACATAAATATTATTATAATTCAGTCAATTTTACCAAGACTGAGCAAAGATTTGGTGTGCTTGTAGCTGAGAGTCATTCACATCACATCCATTAAAAGCTATGTAATGTGCAAGATCTTTGCTAAAATCTGTAGAATTTATTGTTGCCTGTCACACTTTTATCAGTCTGTGCTCCTTCCACGTCCTTATTCTCCTCCCTGCCAACACATAGTCTACAAAGGAGTTGTGGGTTTTTGTGAGAACAGAACAGGTCCAGAGGTGGGAGGGTGGTTTTTAGGAAGGATCCTACCCAAACACTACTGCTTGAGAAATGTGTAGGACACAAAGGCCGACATGCACAACCCCCACTCCCTATTAAATCCCTTTCTGATCAATATAAAACATGTTTCAGGTCTATGAAATGGGAAATTATGAACATTTAAGGCTAAAATGAATATTATTCAAGTCAAATTATTTACCATTTAAATCTTGCTGTTTGCTTGGCAGAACAAGATGCACAATCATGCAATAACTTTGAGCCACAAACGAAAATGCTCAGACCCATCATGACAAATTCCACTACCCCACCTTGTGGTGTTTGCATCCAATCACAAACCAGCAGTCAGCACCGCACTTTCACTCTGACCCACTTCACATCGCAGCACCTCTCAAATCCCATCCCTGCTCGGCTCAAGCAGTTAGCTCGGGCTAAACGGCAGTGGCAAAGACTTTACGCTGCCGCCCGAGCCAGTGCATGCTGGGAACACAGATGGAGCGGACAGAAGGACACGCAGACAGAGAAAAAAGGGGGGGAGGAAGAGAGTATGAGAACTGAAGCTCGCAGCAGATGTTTGCCACAGTTCCCTTATTGCAGTTACATCCATGTTGGCACCTAATCAAGCCCACAGCAGGTGGAGTAGTTATGACATATACATTTTGGAAGCTGATGGCTAAACTAAGCAATCTTGTTAGGGTTATTAGAGATGTAACTGTAGTAAATTTGATAATTAATTAGGAATTTA